GTTTCTCAACTGCTGAAACTTCCAAAGTTTTGGGGCTATAAATGTCTCAACTACTGTAACACTACCAGTTTTGGGGCTATAAATGTCTCAACTCCTATAACACTCACAGTTCTGGGGCTATAAATGTCTCAACTGCTGTAACACCACCAGTTTTGGGGTTATAGGTTTTTCAATTGCTGTAGCTCCCAAAGTTTTAGGGTTGATTAATGTATAGCTTTGTCTTCGATACAGTAGATTAAGTATAAACACCAGTCACTTTACTATGCCGATGGTTCTATCGACAGTTGACCGAATAAGGAAAGAGTTGGTAGAAGAATAACGGCCTTGGTTTCAGAAGGTGGGACGAAGCTGTAGCCGAGAGTATTGAGTTTCAAATCACGTGATTCACTATGAAGGACCCGAAGACGAGCTGTGCGTGACTCAGATCAAACAAATACTGTAAATTAACTCTCTTAAATTCACTATCGACTTCAGTGACGTGTCATGATGTACTTAAGCACCTGGCATGGTAAGAATCTGACCCCCACGCTCGTAAATGATTTGACTCCCGAAACGTTTCATCCCCGATATTTTGAAAGAGACTATAGGTGAGCTCGGAAAGATCAGACGCTACAACATGTTCCAGTGAAATGAGTACTTACAACCGTGTGTGTGTGTACATTACCTGATTTTCGAAGTATTCTAGACCAAGTGAATAGTTTTGTAGAATAACACAAGTAGCAAATAGAATCCCCAAGTAACAGTAACAACCGAATATGAATGGAGGGGAATCATGTTGAGTAAGATCATTCTCAGAAGGTGGGGACTCTTCGTCACTGTCACGCGCATTACATAATGTCTGTGCACTAGATATGATGTATACGAAGGCGTGGTTCGAGTGGAAATGAATACAGTTCGTGTTGAGAAACGTATAAACTAAGTTTTGAAGGATCAGTGATTAATACAAGTTTTATTAATTACGTGATCGAACCTCTTTTAGATTTCCACAGTCTCTTAATCGTTGTGAAACCAAATAAAGCAGTTTAGTTTCTTAAAATATTAGTTTGTTTTGTAGCCCTTTTAGAGCTGGGCGTAGCCTTAGCGGTTAGCGTACCCGAACTGTGAACTCATTGTTCGCTGTCCGTTACTGCAAAAATGCGATCCGCACTTTTGGGATACGCTATGGAAGTGACGACCAAAACCCACAATATTCGTTCAGATAATTGGAGATGGGTACTATTTGGTAGATGCCATCCATCGATTCTATCAGTTCAAAATTAAAGACGGCTATGCTTTTTTTTTCTAGTTCTGCGAGAAAATAATGAAAAAAATATATAACGTTACAAAATAATACGATCCAGTAAAACGTTGTTTGGTAATAGGTAACAAAGAGGCTTAGTGATGAACTGCCTGCCTTACTGCTGTCCATTCAGGTGTCCTATTAATTAAACGTGATGTATAAATGACAAAAGAACTTCGATCCTTGCAGTGACAAAGGGTTTGGTGGTCTAGATACCAGTGATAAAGGGTTTGGTGGTCTAGATACCAGTGATAAAGGGTTTGGTGGTCTAGAGACTAGAGATAAAGGGTTTGGTGATCTAGAGACTAGAGATAAAGGGTTTGGTGGTCTAGAGATCAGTGATAAAGGGTTTGGTAGTCTAGAGACCAGTGATAAAGGGCTTGGTGGTCTAGAGACCAGTAATAAAGAGTTTGGTGGTCTAGA